CAAGATCTGAATTAAAGTATAACTAAGTAGGAGCTCTTCCAAGGATTCAGAGGACTGGATTGGACCCCCTCTCCTACTCTGGGGCACCACACATACCCTACTACCAAATTCACTGTCCCCAATTGTGGCAGCAAAAATGCTGCATTTTAACATGTATAGAAGATATATGTGGGGCATACAGATCTTGTTACAGACAAAATTTCTCCCAGAAATCTCCAGGAGATGTGGTTTGTCTTGATCTGCAAGTTTATGTCTTTTTTATTGATAAATCACAGATCAGTTTGTTGGCCCTATGAAAGCCCCCCCAGCACCTAGAGACACTCAGCGCCCCATGCCCCCTTCCCACTGCCCGCATTGCCTCCCTACCTTTTGCTGCTGCAATTTCCTCTGCTGCTGCCACCATCTTGAAAGGCAGCCAGGCAGCCTCTGCGCATGTGCCTGCCTCTCCACTGAGGGGTGAGCACATGTGCAGAGGCAGCTCACCAGGAGCTAGCCTGGCTGCCATTCATATACAGTGGTGCCTCGTTTGACGATGTTAATTCGTTCCAGCAAAATCGCTGTAGAGCGAAAACGTTGTCAAACGAAATAAAAAAAACCCTATTGAAACACATTGAAAACTGTTTAGTGCATTCCAATGGACTGAATACCTGCTCGTCCAGTGAAGATCCTCCATAGGGGTGGCCATTTTCAGTGACTGTAGTGTGAAAAATCAGGCCTAAAAACAGCAGGGGGTGTATTTTCTTCAGCTGGTGGCCATTTTGAAACCCGACAATCAGCTGTTTGCTGATTGTCATAAAGTGAAAATCGGTTCCCGAAGCAGGGAACCGATCATCGCACAGGGAAAAAAACCCATTTAAACCATTGTTTTGCGATCGCAAAAGCGATCGCAAAAACATCATTAAGCAGATTCATTGTTACACGGGGTAATCGTCCAGTGGGGCACAACTGAAGCGGATTCATTGTTACACGGGGTAATCATCCAGCGGGCATAACTGTATATAAAGAGAGGAAGAAGGAGAGACCAGTGGCTATCTTTTTTTTAAAAAGCCGAGCTGCCTTGGCTTAGAGATGGGCTCAGCTATCTTAAAAAGTTTTTTAAAAATTAGAGGCCGCCAGGCCAGATCCTGTCCAGCTGCCTCTGCACATGTGCAGAGACAATCGGCCTGCGGGAGCCAGCCAGGATGCCTTTCCATATGGCAGAGGAGGAGGAGGCAGCAGCAGCAAAAGTAGGGAGATGGTGGACCAGTGGAAAGGAGGTGTCTCTAGCTGTCTAGGGTGCCTCTAAAAATGTTAATTTTTAACAAATATTTTTGAGACAAATCAATGACTTGGAAATTGCTAAAAAAAATTGTCCATTCATATTGGGTTAATTGCATTTGATGACATAAATCAATTAATTAGCAATTTTGACCAATTTTCTGATTTATTTTTGGCTTTGTACCCATCTTTTAGACCAGAATCTCAAAAACATACAGGGAGGCACATATTGTTCTCAATGGGGCAAAGCGGAATTGAATTTGTTTGCAAGGCTACTAGCAAGGGGCTTTCAGCTGATGACTATAATGTATCTCATATGCGTATTCTGTGTATTCTGGAGAATTCAGAATCTTTTCTCCACTTTATAATACTTTTATTATGAGACCCAACTAAGATATTGTCCCCTCCTGTGGCTTAGGGTTTCTTCTAAACAGAGCTACTAGATTTAAGCATGCATGGGGAGAACAGTCTTTGATGACCACAGAAATCTAAAATTAATGCCTACATATAAGGTTGCAATAGTGCACAGGCTAGAACAACTGAGCTCTTAGTTGTAACAGATCAGAATGTGGGAATCCACTGAGTTGGCCCTTCAGCTGTTTTGTAGTAGAGCTCCCATAAACCCTTGCCATTCATCGGTTTGAGTTAATGGGAGATATAAACCAAAACATTGAGAGGGCCAGTGGAGGGGAGGACGTGCATGACTAACACATCTCTTTCCGCTCCCTTTCCAGATGTAACCTGGAAGCCTTTGGCCAAACAGTCTCATCCAACATATTACATATTCGGGATTGAGTTTGAAAAATGGTGGGACTTAATGAACAGTGAATAAAGTGTTGTTGTTTTTTAAATGGGGATGAGGTCTTTATCATTATAATAGTGTTACATTAGGGTTGGAATTCCCCGGCTTTAATTTGAACAAGATTGTTCTCCTTTGTCTCCACAAGAGGCCAGTGTAGTTCTTTCTTGAGTTCCAGTTCAGACTATTTCTATGAGCCGGTCATTGTGTTCTTTTAAATATGCCACAGTCTTCATTGTGAACGACTCTTTATCACTTTCATTTAATGTGGGGAGCTGCTTGAACAGTATACAGTCCTCACCTGACAGAACTAAAATATAGTATGTCTGCTTCAATATAACATGACAGAGATCACTTTGAAAAAGTGATCAGTAGAAAGTCAGTTTCGGAAATCGGGGCTCAACTTCTTCTAGAAAGGGTTGTGCCCCTCATGACAGCTCAGGTTTATAGTCTGGGACTGCTCCTTGACTCTCCGCTCTCACCGGATGGACTCTCAGGTGGTACCTTTGCGCAGCTACCTTTCCTGAGTCAACCTGACTTAGCAATAGTCATCCGTGCCGTAATTACATCACATCTTGAATACTGCATTGTGCTCTGCACAAGGCTAGACTTGAAATTGGTCTGAGATCTTCAGCTGGTGCAACATACAGTAGCTATGTTGCTAACTAGTGCACGGTATTGTGATCACATGATTGATATTAATACAGCTGCACTAGATGCCAATTGCTTACTGGTCCCAATTCAAGTTGTTGATTTTAACCTTTAAAGCCATTCAGGCTTGAGACCTGACTATCTAAGGCACTGTCTATCTTGTTATGAACCTGCCCAAATATCAAGATTTTGTTTGTTATTATGACATGTATGAAGATTTGTGAGTAAAAGGTAATTTTTAAAAATTCTTTCTTAACACCAGAGTCTCTTGCCAGTTGAGGTAAACTAACTAAGGGCTGGCATATTTTATTTGCAATTATATAATTGTTCTGTAGGTTCCTGTCTGGATTTTTTCCCCTATGGATTGCTCTGGTTTGGATCAGTTGCACCTGATCCTGTGGTTCCTGAAACCAATCCAAAGCAAGCCATCCTCTTTCAATTTGCCAATATTGCAAAGTGATTTAATAAGCAAGCCACTTCTGGATACTGACAAATTAATGACTCCCGCTGTGTGGCAGAGGGCAGAAGTGAAATTTTTTTTGACTGTATGTCGACTGTTGCTGATGCACTATATCAGTTATTTTAAAGGAAAATGAACATTTTTTTTCTTTGCCTTCTGTTAAAGGGCAGTTGAGAAACCACCCACAGTCGAATGTTCAGCTTCAGCTGCAGGCAGTTTCTCGACTGGGCCTTTAAGAAAAGGTAGAGAATTTTTGTTGTTTTTTAAAAAAGAGTTATAACTGATGCAGCATATCAGCAATACTTCGTACACAATTTTTTTAAAAAATCACTTCCCCTGTCCTCTGGCAATTAATCACTTATTAAGCACACAATATTGGCAGGAGCCAATTTCATGTGAACATTCTGGTTTGATTAGATCAAGTCCAACTGTTCACAAGCAGCCCATACTAGCCTGCTCCCTGCTGCTAGTCTAGCTGTACTCTTAGGGAGCTTTATAGGTTAGGACACTTTAAATGTTTATATGTATATATGTGTGTGTGTATGTGTGTGCGTATTTATTTATTTATATTTATGCGCGGGGGGATTATATATATTGCCTTTGCATCTCCCCCATACTTGCCTTCCAAAAAGCCCCAAAACATTACAAGTTGAGTTGTTTTAGCGCTTTAAAGCCAAGAGAAGGATCTCTGATTGTTCTGTATATTTAAACAGAAGAAACACAGGTGAAACGTGTTGAAGCTTGTACAGTCTTCCTGTGCAAATGATTCTATAATAACAGTGAAAGAGGAGCTGCCCCAAAGTCTTTAGTGGGAAACTGTTACCTTCTGTTGGAAGTAGACAGCTTGACAACAGCAGCCAATCACGTTTGCAAGTGTGCTAAAATTGAGGTGTCCATAGTTTTCAGTGTTCCCTTTAAATTTAGATAAATATTTGAAATGAAATGCATGTATTAAAAGTTTAAAGCATTCTGTAGAAATAATTTCCAAGTAGTGCTTTGAATTTCCTTGAGTATATTACATTGAGGGTGTGGTTTCCCTCCCACTTAATCAAATATTTCATTTTTAATACTTCTGTTGGGATAACAGACATTTTTATTTAGTAAGTATATCTAAGCCAAATAAACACGGTGTTTTATATCAGACTCTATTTAGGACATGGGAATTTTCCCTGCAAATAATAACAGAGTCTGAAATTTGCAAATTTCTGGGCAACTTTCAAATATAATCCCCCCCCCCCCAGGAACCTACATCTGTGTTGGCACAGTTTCATCCACCCTACTTGTGAAACATCTTTCTGGGCTCCATCTTTGTGCCTACGCCGGGAAAGATGTTGCCCAGATTTCATCCATCTATTGCTCTTTCCCTTGAGGTGTGCATGTGTGTGTGTGCTGTGTGTGAGTGTGTGTGAAAGAGAGAAAGGAGGGGAGAGGGAAAGAGAGACTCCCGGGTGGCTTTTTCAACCCAGCGGAGTCTGCCCTGCTGCCGGCTGTCCCATTCCATTTGCATTGATCCATGCTGCCAGTGACAACTGCATGCCTTTGGACAAAGTAGGCGCTGAAGCTCCCCGTCCTTTTGCCGGGCGTGCTGTGGTCCCAATTGAATCAGAGACTTTCACATGCGGGTTGTGGGGGGGGGGAGTAACCCGGAGCTTTATGTAACAGATGTTTCAGAGGAGAGACACTGGTCTCAAAGCATTTGTTTGCTCATGTTGGCATTGCTGTCGGGATGGTGGCGGTGGTGGTGGTGACGGAGGGTGGCTGCCGCCGAGGAGCTGGGAGGCACCACCGCTAAACAGCTGCTCATGTCTCTCTTTGACCATGCTGTATTTTCAGCTCGTCATTATGGCCGGGACCGTTCTGCTCGCCTACTACTTTGAGTGCACAGACACTTTCCAGGTGCATATCCAAGGGTTCTTTTGCCAGGATGGAGATCTGATGAAACCTTATCCAGGAACAGAGGACGAAAGCTTCATTTCCCCTCTCATCCTCTACTGTGTGTTGTCTGCAACCCCAACAGCAATTGTAAGTAGGAAAATAAAACAATGGTAGTTTTCATTACAAAAAAGGGACTCTACTTATTAATTCATCAATGCTGATTTGCTAGAAAGAGAGAAAAAAAGATATGAGATCTTGCTCCTCTTTTCCCTCTTTCTAATTCCTAATTGATGAGGATTTGCTTAGGAAAAATCTGAAGTTGGCAAATTTTTTAAAAGCCACACTGGTCATTAATTGCCCGATTTATTATGTGCAGATGATCCCACAAGAGAACAATGCTCCCTGGGCTGTCTTGCCCAACACGATGCAATAAGTGTGAACATCTCCTTTGACAGATGGTTGTGAATTTACAGTCCAAGCACCATGCCACAGGATAGGAGACTGGTGCTGAAATCACTCTCAGATTGTCAGATTTTGATGAAACTGAAGGGCAAGTCTGCACAATATATGAGGGTGTAAATGATGTGCTAGATGCACAACTGGCCATTTTAATAAGACTCTCCAGTGACCGAATGGTGCTTATGAGGTGATGGAAGACTTTTGGAAATCACATTTCAATTTTACTCGTTCTTCTCAGCAGAATTCTCACGCAAAACCCCATTTAAAAGTGTCTGCAAAACCAGGAAAGCTTTTGGGAAGGAACAAAGTACTGAAAGTGCTCTTATTACACTCTTTTCATTGCGAACATTGGCTCTTTTGTGCTCTAAAACAAACAGAATCAGTCACCATATTGACTGGGAAAAACAATTCTGTTTAAATTGAGATGTCACAGGCAAATTATTTAGTTCATCTGTTTCTCAGTGGACTTTTTAGCCCCCTTCCCATCATTACACTGAGTATCATCCACATTTGAATCTTTCTGCATGGCTTTCCATTATACTCAGAATTTTATTCAGCAAAGTTAGGATCAGGTAGGAAACTTGATTACTGCTGTGTCTCTTCAGACTTTTTAACTTATTTGAGCTTCTTTGTGTAGTAGAATTTTGTAGTAGAATTAATGGAGGAAATATTTTTTTTACAAATGTTGGGTGATAAATGATACCACATAGTCCATCCTATATCCATCTGGGTTTACGGTGCCTACAGGCTGGTATCTTGACCAGTCACATGGTATGGAACCATATAGCTGTACCAAGTACTGGCCCAGCGTTACAGGGAACTGGTTCTGCAAAATGGCAGCCAATCTCTGTTTTAGATAAGGGCTAATTGGCTAAGACTTGTGGTATCACTCTGATTTCTTATATCTCCCAGCCTAGGAAAAAGTTTTTAAATGGATTTTCAGCCTCTTTCTCTTTCTCTCTGTCTGTGATAATATGACTAATATGACATGTTATTTTAACTGATGTTATATAGTTATTTTACTAATGGTTAATGAACAAGTGTTAATGCTGTGAAACAATGGAAAGCCTACATGAAGAGGAAAACCTTGCAAGGCAATTCAGATGGCTGAGTTAAGCATTAAAATTGTTAATAAGCATGACTGTTGAATGTGCTTTGGAGGAGGGTGAAAGGTGAAAAGAAAAAAATCTTATTTAAAGGCTTAAATGCACCTCAAATATCTGTGGAAGATAAGGTTTTTGGAATGAAACGATTTGTGAATGGTAGTATTATGTGATGGGGATTATTCACCAGAGCCTGTATTTATCAAGTGTAAAGGGGAGGAGAATCATGCCTCCTGTTTGGGAGAAGTGTCCCTGTTACCCAGTACATACATAAATGCAATGCATGGAGAAAGGATTCAAGTGAACCACCTTTGCCCAACTTCATTACACCCTCCCACAGTTACAAATGAAGATGTTGCCCGGGCAGCACGTGGGACCTCTGTTTGGCTGGCATGTAGTCTGTCAACTTGTGTGTTGTGGTTCAGGGATTTCATATTTACATCTTGCATTTCATTTAATGAGCTTATGGCACTACAGACGAGAGGTAGTGTCTTGCCTGTGGCAACGCAGCAGGCCCAAGAATAGCACCATGAGGACAAGCAACTTGCCGAGGCTGCAGAATACTAGATATGTAATTGAGAGGTAGGAAACTGCAGGAGGAAATAGAATGAAATATCCTAGAACAGTGGTTCCCAACCGTGAATAACTCAGGTGATCTTGGACTGCAGCTCCCAGAAACCCCAGCCAGCACAGCTAGTGGCCAAGGTTTCTGGGAGTTTTAGTCCAAGAACACCTGGGCTGCCAGGGGAACCACTGTCCTCGAAGAGCGCATGGCTGTCTAGCCGGAACACTAAAGAGGAACATTTTACACCCAGTTCCGTTTAGATTTAGTACATGTTCTGTACTACTTCAGTTATCACTCTTTCTGTTTATATTGTATGGCTCCAAGCCAATGGGTGTGCATGGTCTTGATGAATTGCCTGGGCTGCCAGGGGAACCACTGCTGTCTAGACATGGCTGTCTAGCCGGAACACTAAGGAGGAACATTTTACACCCAGTTCCATTTAGATTTAGTACATGTTCTGTACTACTCCAGTTATCACTCTTTATTGTATGGCTCCAGGCCAATGGGTGTGCATGGTCTTGATGAATTTAAATGTTAGATTTTTTCCAAAATGTGGATTTCCTTAATCAAAGCTGTTTCTACCTGATCCCTTGATCTCATTGTACTTCCATGACTCCATCCCAGCAGAGTTAACAGTTTGGTGGAGGGTATATATAGCACCACTCAGAGGGCTGGGTTTGACCCAGGGACTGACTTCTGCTGCCCCCTCCTCCTCCACCACCATTACACCCAGCCCCAGAGTCTCAGTTCACTTTGATGTTGGTCTTTCCAGACTACACAAAAGAAACTGTGTATGGGAAGGTTACACGAGGCTTCATTTGCTGCATTTTCACTATCCCTGCTAATCAGTGTCAGAAGGAAGGAAAGTGCATTAAAAGCAGGATGGTTGAGAAGTGATCGTGCTCACAGATGTCGGACTATTTCTGCCATTTTGATGAGAAGACTGGCGCCCCACCCCCACCCCATAAATTCTGAGGCAGATTGCCCATGGCATTCAAGACTTGTATTATGGGGAAGCAGGTCAACAGACACTCTCTCCCTCCAGATTAACCCATAAACCATGATCACGACAATTCTGCAGGCTTTGCCCGACAGGCTGCTTGCATTTTGATACCCAAATCAAAGACTAATGGCTCTGTTGGCCTAAGAGGATTTGTTGTGATTGCAGTCTGCCTTTAGCCTGTTACAGCACTGCAATTCTTGGCCTCCCCAGCATAACTGAATAGCCAGGGTATTGATTTATTGCAGCTTTCATATGTGCTGGACCACATCTCCCATCATCCTAGCCAGCAGGCATCTAGAGGGAGAAGTCTGATTTATCAGGTTGACTCTCTGTCCTTCCAGGAGCTCGGGAGAGCAGCATGTGTGTGGATTATCTAGATGAGGCTGCAAGTCTCAAATACCTGGGATAGGCAATTTTCACTGGAAGGAGGGGAGGCACACTGACTCTTCTGAATCCAGCACAAGGTAGCTGAAATCCTATCACTCACATATGCCAGCATGAATCAGACTGGGGACTTGTATTCTTCATTGAGCAGTACCAAGTCATGTACTTGGTACATAGAAAAGGAATACAAGCCTTAATGTCTTACCTAGTGACCATATGTTGCTGTGATTTACCCTGTCTGGCTTACATCAGAGTAGATAAATAACAGGATTCTGGCCAGTGTGTGTAAAAAGTGCACCTTGTTTTCAAGATGATTGGTGTTTCCAAGAAGATTCTAGGGATGCTAATGAGCTTGAAAATGGTAAAAAAAATCTTTTACACACCTCTGTTATTAAAACAGCAACACACACACTCCGCCCAGCACAATATGCCTTTAAACATGCTGTGCCAAGAGCACACACCTTGTTTTCAAGCTGACTAGCATTTCTAGGAAGCTACTGGGAACATTTATTGTCTTGACAATCACACATTTTGATATAAAACATGCCTTGTTCTATATAAATATATATATTGCTATCCCACATGACTGAAATTCAGCAAGGAGGGTCACTAAAACATAGGGCTACATGTAACCTATGACATGTGTTGCTTGTCCACACCAAATATGGGCATAAGCCCCACAAAAAACAATGTGGCTTGCTCCTGTGGCTGTGCAGGATTGTAGTGTAAGAGTTAACACAGTCATCTTGGGCAAGATTATCATGCTTAGCTCTAGATCAGCCTCAAGAGCTTGAAGCCCAGCCTCTGTAAACAAAGGCCATTGTACAGTGTTGTTGGACTCATGAAGCTTGTTCTACGCAATGTAGAAGAACACCACATGGTGACATTTGATAACAATGCAAGAAACACACTAAGTTGGACTCTCTGTTGTCCCATCAAGCTTGAACCACAGACAAATAGTTTAGGGCTCTGTCCCTATCCATAATTTTTTTAAATGTTGTGGCCTCCATGAATTAAGCAAACAGGTCAAATGTGCAGCTTTCCTTTTATTTAGCGTACTTCTGCTCTTTTCTGTTTTGCATAATTTATTGCATAATGGCAGGCTACAGGTTGCGGGTGGAGAGTAATTAACACTGGGGACTTGCATTCACTGCTGAGTGTGATTCTGCAGGCCTTCTGTCATCTGAGATTTTGTTTGCCAAATCTGAAGTAAACTGTGGGGTAAAATGGCCAATGAAGTCGTCCCCTTAGAAAATACTATGAAGAACTACATCTGCCTTCTTGATAACATTAAGATCTTGTTTGCTTTGACGAGATTAAGCTATCAGCCCCTGTGACCTGAAATATACCATGTAAAGAGAAGTGTTGGCCATTGGGGAAATTGCCAATCTCAGAAAATATGGCTATTTTCCTCATGGTTAGAGCTTTCTGCCTCTGCCCCATGGACTCCTGCAACATGAGAATTGGTGTGGACAGCTACAGCGATTTCACCTGCGAAAACCAGTAGTGACATACTGTAGTTTGAAAAACGTTGGAGCGAACCTTTCCCCCCCCCCATGTAGTTGCACCCTAAGGTGGCTCTGCATTCTGTAGAGAATATCCATATACGGAGGTGCTTGCCCATTCTTCCTGTCTGTCTTTTGTTCCCCTTTTCTCACTTTCCATTTCTCTCCCTTGGTTGTCTCTCCCGTGGTCAATGTTGGCAGCAGTATGATTCTTCAATATGGGATTTAATACCGTATTTTTCTAAAATGACACTTTTCCCTTAAATAATTAGACTAAAAATTGAGGGTTGTTTTATACACGGAAGGCAGCCGCTTTTCCCTGCCTTTTGCAAAGCCACAGGGCTTAGTAAAAAAGGAAGGGGAGGCTCCCTTCAAGCAAAGCAGCCGTGAAAGGGCTGCATGATCACACCCGTTTGGTCCTGAAGCCCTTTCATGGCTGCTTTATCCACTTCCTAAGCCCCACGGATCCCTTCCTTTCTGTTAAGCCCTGTGGCTTCGCAAAAGGCAAGGAAAAGGGAGCCCTATGATCCCTGCTTTTCCCTTCCTTTTGCTGTGTCTTTGCAAAAGAAAGGGAAAAGCAGGGATCACATTTTCTAATTTGGGGTTAGAAAAGGGGGGGGTCATCTTATACATTGGGTCATCTTATAAATAATTTAAAAAAGGTTATCAGTCAGTTTTCTCCTCCACCACTGTCTCAATATTTCTTTTTGATCCTTTCATCCATCCATCCATCCATCCGTCCATCCCTCCCTCCCTCCGATTCTGGTTTTAAGAAAACATGGGAGGGAGAGAAAGGGAGTCCAAACAAGCAAGAGATGAAGGCGGAGAAGTGCAGATATAAAGTGTTAGACTTTGTTTCAATTTGGGATTAATAAAAGTCTAAAATGCACAAAGGCCATGTGAGAATTAGTGTTTTACACATCTAAATCCTTTTGAGTGAGCGATTAGAAAATCCTTTCTTATTGGTTCCAGGTGAAGACTTTTTAAAAAGTGTATTCAAAGAAATGTTTGAATGGTTTTAGACCTTTGCACTGTTTATTTGTATGCTAGTGGTTTAACTTTGGTTTTACTAAATGGATTCCTTCCCAGCCTGCTGATTTAATGCTGCGGGGTTTTATTTTTGATTTTCCATTTCCCCCTTTAATTGTCATCCAGATAACTTTGTTTATTAGGTGATCTTAAAGATGGTTAGTTAGCTCATTATCTAATATGAGTCCTAAAGCCATGATCTCTTTCAACTGGAGAAGTATGTTTTATATAAGCTAACACTTGTTTCAGAGTTCTTTTTCCCATCTTGAATTATATTACTACTGTTGTTTATTTTATTTTATTTTATTGTTTTTATTCTATTATTGTTAGCCGCCCAGAGTAGACTTCGGTCTAGATGGGCAGGGTATAAATTTAATAAATAAATACATTTGTGATTTAATAATAGCAATGTTCTGTTTTAGAATGGCTCTGAAAGGTAAGGTTTGTGATTTAATAATAGCAATAGAGTATTCTGTTTTAGAATGGCTCTGAAAGGTAAGCCAGTATAGAAAGTGGTTTGCCCAGGACAAGCGTGGAGAATGTATCTTACTCCAGATGTTGTTGGGACTATAAGTCTCATCAGACAGCATAGTCAAGAATGAAGGCTACTGGGAGTTAGGGTTCAGCAACATCTGGAGGACCATACTCTCTAAATCACAGTGGAGGCCATTTCTATTAGATACATGACTTTTGTTTCACTTGAATCCAAAATTTTAAATTTCAGACTTAGCCAGCACACTAGATGTATTGTTGATTTCTTTAGCAGATTTCATAGTAGGGGCAGATATCTCTCCTATTCCCAAGATTAACCATAGGGATGATGCTGTGTCTTGCTCTAGTGACACACCTAGGGGCATTATCTTTCAGGAGTATGTCGGGAAAGGCAAGCCACTGCTAGAAGTGACTGTAAGGCCTGTGTGTATATGTGTGCAGGCATACACCCAGATATGTATGTGATATCATTAAGAAAGTAAAAGTGAGAATCTGTGTTGCTTCTCATCAAAGAATAAGAATTCTAATTCTTAAAACCCACCTGCCACTCCCCTAACTGGGGAATAAATAATCCTGGAAAAAGAAAATTTGGTCTAACGTAACTACATGTGGCATCATTTAGTTGCAGGCCCCCTTTTCTGGTCTTAAGGACCTAACCAGTACAGCATTATGACAGGTTATAAAAGGGAAAAAAGGCATTCTAGGAAGCATTCTTTAACCTTCCAAAGTTACTTGTGGGTAAGCTTGCCAGATAAGCTCTTTTTTCTCTTCTGTAGCTGTTCCATAACTGCTAAAATCTTTTCTTGCTCCTGATTAATTTATTTCTCTGTCCTCATGTTCTGGCATATTAAATATGTAACTACATAAATTCCCACTTAAGGGTGTAGCCCGTTCTGGCATCCTGTAGTGCTCAGGTACCTACTGCTGTGTTCAACACACAGGAAAATGAAGCAAAATTCACATCAGCCTCTTATCTCATTTTCCGGGGTTTGTAGATCCAGGAGATTAGAGCAGTGTATCCACCAAATCCCTGAAAGAATTTGCCCCTAAAAAGAAGCTGCTTTTGGTAAAGAGAGCCAAAAGATACCATTTATTTTAAATAAAACATTGTGTCCTGGATCCTGAAATGGAAGGGTTTTTGAGAGCCAGACCCTGTTAATTTTGCTTTATTTATGTGGATGTCAAGAAATCCTGAGAAAGCTCATATGGTGGCTGTGGTCACCAGAGAGTTATAGATGAAGAGAGGTTTTCAGATTTTCTCCTCTACGGAAGTGTGATGGAGACTTTTTTAGAAAAATCTTTTTGGCAATTATTTTATTACAGTGTTATTCATCAATGTGGCAGTTTTACCTTTCCGTCCTGCAACATTCTGACAGCTTAAAATCTTTACTTGTGCCTTTCACCATAATGGACAATGAAGAGTAGCAGTTATGGGGCAAATTTATGGTATTATAACCCTCTGCTTACATTGGCTAGAACTAGGTCTTGGTGGAACACATCTAATCTTGTAACTTTGAGCAGCACACCAACACCTTAAGACAGAGGTCTCCAACCCCCAGTCCGTGGCCCAGTGCTGGTCCGTGGCCTGAGACAGACCTCCTGCACCCCTGCACAAATTCACCCCCACACTGCCTGTTTGCACCTGACCGTGGCTGGTCAATGGCCTGAGACAGACCTCCTGCACCCCCGCACACATTCACCCCCACACTGCCTGTTTGCACCTGCACATGTGCTCTGGCGTGCCCATGCAAGTGCCATGCTGCTGTTTGTCGGTGTGCCCATACGAGTGCCATGCTGCTGTTTGTGCATACGCACAAGCGCATGTGCACTTGCACAAGCGGTGCATCACCGTTTATGTATGTGCACGAGCGAGCAAGAGCACGCTTGTTCACACATGCGCATGAGCGCAGGGGGTGCACATGTGCACTTGGACAAGCGGTGCATCGCCGTTTGTGTATGTGCACGAGCGAGCAAGAGCACACTTGTTCACGCATGCGCATTAGCGCAGGGGGTGCCCCCGCCTTCCCCAGCTGGTCCGCGGGGTGAAAAAGGTTGGGGACCCCTGCCTTAAGAGACAGGCTTAAATGACAACTGTTTTGTAAGTGGGTGTGGTTCCTTAGAGATCGTTAGTAATGTTTCTTAAATGGAGGGGAGGTTAGGGGGCTTCTTGCTTTTTGCATGTTTATTATTTTAATTCTTGTCTTGACATTTTTTGTAGTTGTTCAAAATAGTGGTTTGTCACTAGATGGGCATGGTAAGAGTTAAAATAAATAAATTGCTTAAAAAGAGATTCCGCTAGAACATTTTGGGAAAAGTTCATCTCCTTTGTACAGTGAGTCCAGAATGTTATGTTACTGTTGACTCTTTGCTTTACCTATTTATATAGTGTGTTTAATTTTTTCCCTTTTGTCTTGAGTGGTTCAGTAAATACAACACATTATTTTGCCGTTATAAATGTCTACGGTTCCCATGTTTCAAAAAGCAAAGGTATTCTTCAAACAGAAAAAACCTGCTGGGTTTAAGCAAAAAGTTCTGGTAAAAAACCTGTATGTCCAAGCATCGGTTGAGGCCTTGGATTAAGCCTTCCATGCTCATGCAAAAATTGGGCACCTTGATGCACCCTTTTTGTATCTTAACTCCCATCTCTCATTTTAGTAGATATTGCCTTCCAGGAAATGAAGATGTGAAATCAAAACTTCTTGCAAAAATCTTAGCCATCAGTGCCAGTTTTCCCTCATTTTCATTATGTTGGCCGATGCAGGTTTAGGAATATGTTTGGAATACAGTTGGATTTTACTCTTAGATGTGTACAGTGGACTCAAAGTCTTGGAGTCAATGTGTATCATACTTTTCTTTGAGATTTCCAACTTCTTTCTCCCCCCCCCTTTCCATTATCTCCTCTTTTGCAGATTTTTATTGGAGAAATATCCATGTATTTCATCAAGTCCACCAGGGAGAGCCTGATTGTCCAAGAGAAAACCATTTTGACGGGAGAATGCTGTTACCTGAATCCATTACTTCGGAGAATTATTCGATTTATAGGTAAGCCATGGTAAATGCAACACACAAACAAAAAAAAATACAAGGAGAAAAATGAACACACACATATTTCTGTGATATATAGGATTTTTTTAAAAGATAAGATTTTAGGAGATATGTTGTCTTTATAAGGTTTCTTCTTTAGATGAAAGGTCTCTACCTGGGTTTTATAAGGCAGTGTTTGACACGCCAAATCAAACTGCCAAAAGGAAGTGTATAGAAAGTACTTTGTGTGTTCAGATAGATGGATTGAGAGATGACATTTGGGCTATAAAGGGTTTGATGGGAAATGCAAACTAGAAATGGCTTTTCTTAAAACTTCAACTTCCAGAAGGATACATGCAACATTTGCCTCTGTGTCTTTTGTTTGTTTAGTTTTATTGTGTTTTTTTGGGGGGGGGGTGTTATTGGATGTTTGCTTGTTTGTTTCTTGCAGTTTGTGTGAACATACTGTATGGTTACAGTGATGTTCCCTAGGAACAAAGCTTGCAGAATTGCAGAAGGATATGTGCAGAGGCTGTGAGGAATAGATAACAGCTTAAAAGTTTGGTTTGTATGAGTGACAGATTTCTGTTCAATTGACACCAGAGTCACAGAAAATGTATAAAGAACCAGGGTGCATGATTTATTTCAGACGTACAATGGCAGAGGTTTGAGGAAATGTTCTAAGCAATATCAAGAATGTTCTAAGCAGTATCAGTGCTAAGCAGAACAGTGTGTGATACTGTTCTAAGCAGTATCACGCAAGAGTCCAAAATATTGTTTTAATGTTCCTTCTCAACAGTCCTGGCTCAAAAAGTGAGAGGTGTCCAAGAAATGTAAATAATACTGTTAATGACATGAACAATCGTATAACAACATCAATAGCAATATCGTCACCTCAGCCTCTTTTTATGACCCATTGGCTGTGATTTGAAGATGGAGCTATTGCTCACAAAACTGTACTCTCTTCTTCTCTCGTCACTTTATTTTCCTTTGATAAGGAGTTTGTGGAGAAAGGTATCAATTTTTGAAGAAACCCTATGGTTCTGTGATAATCAGAATTAGAGATGGAAATACTTGTACTCATAAATGAATACAAATATCCCCATTCCAGCTGGACCTAATGAGGGTCCAGCCCCCAAGACTGGACCATCCACTCATGTGTTCCGGCACCGTGAAGGTTGTGCTCTTCTGGCCAATGGCACCTGGAGCTTCGCTGTCTTCCTGCTCAGCTGGCCACTCCAGGCAGGAGGAGTCTCCCTGCATGGCTGTTGAATGGCCAGCTGAGCAGGAAGACAGTGGAGCTTCTCCCCGCATGGCTGTTGAATGGCCAGCCAAGCAGGAAGACAGTGGAGCTCTGGGCACCATTGGCAGGAAGAGCAGGACCTTCATGTCGACAGGACGCATGAGGGGATGGTGCGGTCCTGGGGGCCAGACTCTCATTAGGTCCAGCTGGGATGGGGATATTTGTATTCGTTTACGAATATGAGTGTCCCTATCTCTAATCAGAATCCAATTTCTAAGAAATCTTTAAGCATATAAAAATTTTGTTCCAGTGTCTCCCAAATAACCTGTTATCCCCAAAATAAGACCTAACCTGAAAATAAGTCCTAGTATGATTTTTCAAGATGCTCGTAATATAAGCCTACCCCAAAAATAAGCCCCATTTAAGTGAAACCCCGCCCTCCATCATTGTGCAGCAACCAGAAGAAGTTGACATGACTGTATTTGAATACATGTAGACTGTTGTACATGAAAAAATTAAAACATCCCCTGAAAATAAGCCCTAATGTGTTTTTGGAGCGAAAATCAATGTAGGACCCTGTCTTATTTTTGGGGAAACACGGTACGCTGAGATTGGTATGTGGCTTTGGGATTCACCTGAATGCAAATCACAGTCTAGCTGAAATCCTGTTACTTCGTATAGTGAATGCTTAGCAGGTGGCTTTCTATACTAAAATAAATCACAACTAGGGTAGGTCCATTGAATCAAATGGAACTTACAGAGGAGTTGACTCTCCACATCTCCACTGATTCAGTGGGCCTTTTCTAGTGCAGTTTACTACACTAAGCAACAGGGTTTCAGCCTCTGTGTAATTAGGTGAAAGTCTGCAATACCATGCCCTAGATTCTGTTGTAAGATGTGCAACCTGTATGATTTTAAACAGGTACTTAATTTTCCTCATTTATCTTATTAAGGGTTCTTCCAGAAGGAGTGTTTGTTTTTGTTAAAGTACCAGGTTCTGCACTGTTATTATTTGTATTCTTCTCACCATCTATTCAATGTTCCTCTTGTCTTACTTTGTGTGCTTCCCCCCATGACTTCATGTTGCTTTTAGTTTCTCCTGAAAGCTTGCTTGGTTGCTTGTTTTGAGGGGCAGGGGCAGGTTTAGTGCTATGCCACTGACCCTTTGAAATTGATCTGCTGTGAAGGGGTATATGCTTTGTTTAAAAAAAACACCCTCATAACCCTCCCTCTTCCCCCGAAATGATTTAGCAAAGAAGTACATTTCTTACATATTTCTTAAAATGAAGAGTCCTTAAACAAAAAAATGGATTTTATAAAGAGAAAATAAATGTTTTGATACAAGTCCCAAAAAAACCGTTGCACTCCTTCATCAAGCAAAAAAAAAAAAAAAAAAGGAAAAATGCTTTATGTACAAGAACACCCAATATCTCATTTTTATCAGTTTGTACAATTCTTTCAGTTCTGCTACCTGTGGGAAGAGGAGCAGAGTTAGAGAGCTGTACAAGATATTAAACCCCTTCTTTTGGTAACTGGAAACATGGAATTTTTGGCTTCCAAGTGTTTAACAGCCATGGCCTGTAGGCTTTTAAGTATGTGTGTATGACTGGGTGGGCTAGAAAATTGCTCCCCACTTCTTTGAAACAAACATTGTCATTCTCAAGGCATTTGAATTCTGCAGCTAGTCCCACACCCCACAGGTTTTGTTCACTACACATAGACCACCCCTTGTATGTCCCAACCTGCCGTGCATAATCCTTCCCCAGCAATCAATGTTACATCAATCAGATTTCTCCCAAAATAACATTACTAATATTTTATCCAAGTAACATGTATCATTAGCATTAATTATTTTATATGCAAGCTTAATTTAATAACAGTACAACAACTTTACAGTATGTAGCCCTGAGCCTAAAATAAGACAGGAAATTTTAATATGACTACCCATCTTCTGTCTATTCCCCACAGATTTTAATTGCTGAGAACTGATATTAAAAAGCTGATCCCAGTCCTTTGCCGTTGAAGAGTTTAGAGTCTGCCAATTTCAGTTCAGTCTGGAAATGACTGGTGTGATCTCTGCATTTGTAGAAATTCCCTTAGCCACAGAGTCCCAGCTCCCAGCAGATGGTGGCTTAACCAGTATCTCACTGGCTTCCCAAACTTTCTCATAACTCATGCCTTCATTACCAGCTGAGGTCTGTTAAGCCACAGGCTGCAGGGAGCTGGGAGTCTGTGGCTTAACAAGCCTCAATTGATAATGAAAGCAATTACTGTATAATATAGTTTGGGAAGACAATGAGGTATGGTGTAGAGTTAGAGTAAGGGCACCAGGACTCAAGACTTGGCTTCAGATTTATACTTGGCCATAAAGCCCCTCCCCTTCACGGATTGCTGCCTTGTCAAGGTGAAGGGGCTTGACTACTCCAGAGAAGCTATGGGCTATGCCATGCAGGGACACCCAAGACGGACAGGTCATGGTGGAGAGTTCTGACTAAACGCGATCCCCCTGGCGCAGGAACTGGCAAGCCACTCCAGTATCTTTGCCAAGAAAACTCCATGGACAGAAACAAAAGGATAAAAGATACGACACTGGAAGATGAGCCCATGAGGTCGGAAGGCGTCCAACATGCTACTGAGGAAGAGCGGAGGACAAGGACAAGTAGCTCCAGAGCTAATGAATTGGTTGGGCCAAAGCCAAAAGACATGCCTGGAAGTGAAAGGAAAGTCCAATGCTGCAAAGAAAAATGCATAGGAACCTGGAATGTAAGATCTATGAACCTTCGTAAGCTGGATGTGGTCAAACAGGAGATGGCAAGAATAAACATTGACATCCTGGGTGTCAGTGAACTAAAATGGACAGGAATGGGCGAATTCAATTTAGACGATTATCATATCTACTATTGTGGACAAGAATCCCATAGAAGAAATGGAGTAGCCCTGATAGTCAACAAATGAGTGGGAAAAGCTGTATTGGGTTACAATATCAAAAATGATAGAATTATTTCAATATAAATCCAAGACTGACCAAATTTCAACATCACAGTAATCCAAGTTTATGCACCAACCACCGATGCTGAAGAGGCTGAAATTGACCAGTTCTGTGAAGACTTACAACATCTTCTAGAACTGACACCAAAGAAAGATGTTCTTATTATAGGGGACTGGAATGCTAAAGTAGAGAGTCAAGAGATAGAAGGACAACAGGGAAGTTTCGCCTTGGAGTTCAAAACAAAGCAGGGCAAAGGCTAATAGAGTTTTGTCAAGAGAACAAGCTGGTCATGCAAACACTGTTTTCCAACAACACAAGAGGTGACTCTACACATGGACATCACCAGATAGGCAATACCGAAATCAGATTGATTATATTCTCTGCAGCCAAAGATGGAGAAACTCTATACAGTCAGCAAAAACAAGACCTGGAGCTGATTGTGGCTTTGCTCATCAGCTTCTTCTAGCAAAACCCAAGCTTAAACTGAAGAAAATAGGAAAAATCCACTGGGCTAGTCAGGCATAGTCGAGGCTTTACAAATAGCAGAGAAGAGAAGGGAAACAAAATGCAAGGGGGATAGGGAAAGAAAATTGAATGCAGACTTCCAAAGAATAGCAAGGAGATACAAGAGGGCCTTTTTAAATGAACAGTGCAAAGAAAG